AGAACGGGAAATCTGCCCTGACCATGGTTTGCCTGGAACCAGCGTCTACATGGGGAGTACCACTTCCTGATGTGTAAATATCCCGCTGATCTGAAATCTTCCCAATGCCAGCGTCCGCAGTAGATGAGGTGTGTTCTCACCGCGTGATGTGTGTTAACCCCGGGACAAGTAGTACTTGTAAGCATTCAAAGTAGGATGTAGAAGAAGAGTGAGAGTAGGCATCAGAACTCATAACAGCAGGAGCCAGATGAGCAGGAGAAATAGACACTACAGTAGGAGGGATGAGATCAAGAGGAAGGTGAAAAGGAGGAGGAGGAGGAGGAGCGAGAAGAGGAGGAGGAACCCCAAACCCTGAAAGCAAAATTCCTAAACTGCTTAAACGCTTAAGTCCCTGAACAGGAAACCTCTTAACCTGGAGGTTTGGTAACAGTAAGCGTGAGAGGAACCAGGGAGAGGAAGAGGATGAGGAAGAGGAGATTTAGAGTAAGAGTGAGAGTAGAACTGAATAAGTCGTATGAAGACTTCTGAATCTAATGAGAGGCCCTCTCATGCAAGATCTGTAACGGGGCAACTCAGGAAGCAGTTTGTAAGTTACGTAATAATTGAAACCAGGTTTCAGAATCAGCGCTCTGAATTTTTTGAAGGGCATCCAAGTACTGTACTTGAGTCCTTTTAACAAAACTTTGAACGCGAGTAGCTCTGGATTCTCTGCTGTGACTCCAGGTCTTGCTGTAAACATGAAGAGAGAGAGTTGCAAGGGGCAGCCCGCGAAGCAATGTTTGAGCCTCTGATTCCTAATAAAGGTTATTAAGCAAATCCGATGTTGAAGTCATCCGCTGGTATTCTAAGCTTAGAGGCAGCTAGCTCGTTTTGCATCTCTAATTCAACCTGAGCTCCATATGCTCCTTGCCTCATTATGCACAAATTAACTTTGGAAAAATTGTCTCTTTAAGTCTAGGGTTGTTGGGCCGAAAAATGGCGCTGGCCTTAAAGTGCTCTTGGACCCCAAATCTGGCCAGAACAAGTGCTTTAAATCTTGGTGTTTTATGATCAGAAGCTTGCATTACGCCAGGTATGCATCGATCTCCTCACACAGTCTTGGAGTACGTTTGCGCACACGCTATGTGCGCCTGCCAATCCCCAGCCTGCAGCAGCTGCTGGGACTGCATTTCGCCTTCGCATGCTGCGCACTCGATATCAATCCATGACGTGAAGAAAGAACTTGTGTCATTATGTCTGGTACCGGAAGCTTCCAATTCTGTCGCTGCAGGAGGGCACATCGCATGTATGAATTCTGGTGAACCAGCAGTTTTTCTTTAGAATCTCGTCCAAGGCTGTACGGCATCTCCTCTTCGCTGCAAGATTTTGAGCAGCAGGGCTTCCAGAAGGCCTGGCTGGTGCCAGTCTGCACACCCTGAGGGTCTGGTCTCTGCCGCCGCTTGATGCATATCATGACCTTGCATATCAACTGTGCTGCAAGCTGGCGGTTTTCAAGTGTGTCTGCAACTTGTTCAAGCAGGCAGTTTGATGGTAAAGGTGCTCATGAGGCTGAGCCCATCTGAGCCCACTGTAAGCAATGCTGCCTGGCAGATGTTCCGGCTGCCCTTCGGGCCGCAGGGCACTCCGCAGTGGGACCGCATGACTCGCAGGGACCTTGGTCCACACTTCCTCTGGGGAGTAGGACGTGCAGACAGCAGTGATACCAGCGAGGATTTCATTTCAGGAGCCGTCATTTGTTCTAGCATCTTATCCACACATATCAGGCTGCAGTTGCTGATTTTGAGGTCCTGACCATCTCAAATTAAGCAGCTCGCACCTTGCAAGAGGATCTACCATGACAGTGCACTGGCGAGGTGTTCCTGGCGCCGCTGCCTCGGCAGCCGGACCTTCCCAGGCTGTCGGGCTCAATTCAGAGTCCTCCACAGCACCCGCTCTTCAGAGCAGCTTGGGGTCCGCGGGAGCCAGCCAACCTGGCCCGGTTGGCTGTGGCCTCAGGCCAACTCTTTGAAGCACGCTATTCGAGCTGCTAGATGTCAAGTTTAGGTCCTGGTCTGCGCCGTGCTGGGTCCATGTCCTCCACAGGCTCAGAGGCTGGGGGCACGTCACAAGACTTCTGCCTGCCGTGCCTGCCGGGTGTCACCCAAGGATTATTTGGGCCTTGGCGAAGCTGGTTTTGGCCGCGAGCAAGCACCTTGACTGAAGTTTTTCATGGCTTGGGCTGCTTCAGTTTGGGGCTTTGGACCATGCCAGGGGCAGACAAAGGTTTCAAGGGTCGTGCTGCGGATGAAAGGGAGCCTGGAGCCAGAGGTTCTGCAGGCCTGTCATCCATGGAGCAAAGGTGCTTGAACGTGCAGTGCTCCAGACTCAGTGTGGCTTGAATGTTTTCGTGTGCCCGTGTTTTACATGGTGCAGCAGTTTCAAGTCTCAAGTGTCTTGCGCGAGAGCAGAAGGAGGATTTGGAAAGCTGCTGCTACATGCGTGGAGTGGCTCAGGGACACAGCAGCCCCCGAAAAGCATGTGCAGATGTTCCGCAAGCTCCAGTCCATGCAGGGAGCTTGGTCACGCTGCAGTGGGGGCTTGTTTTAATGGGTCCTGATTTTCCTGTATGTAGGCAGATGGTCCTTTGCTGGTTCTGTAGTCGGGCAAAGACCGTGCGTTTTATTCACGGGCTCTTGCACCACTCTGTTTTGGCACAAACTTGTTCTTCGCAGTTCTGATGCTGCTTTAGGAGTTACAGAAGGAACTTGGCCCGAGGTGGCAGTGCTTTGATGCCTATGCTCGAGTCAGTTGCTCGACCGCAGGTGGCCAAAACGATTTGCCATCAGTCGCCCTTGCTAAGACGCTCTTTCTTCTGTGGCCTGATGAGGTATGAGCTTGGGTGTGCATCAGATCGTTCAGGCACATTGCACCTATGTCAATGTAGAACTTAGGGACGTGGATTCTGCTTGAATATGCTCTGTCTATCCTTGCACGCTTACAGGCAATCAACCTGTTTGTGTTGGGCTTGACCTTGGTCGAGACGCATTGCCCCTCTGTGTCCATGGCTGTCACCTTTACGCTGCAAGCAGTTGCTTGGCAGACTGAGTTGCTTACAGGTTCAGTTTTATCCTTGACTTCAAGTCTTGATGGAGCTTGACTGCCTTTGGCTTGTTTCCGAGCAAAATGGCATCAAGTTGGCATTGACGTGTTGTGGTTGTGTGTACCTCAGAGATTGACCGTTGCAAAGAGGCTGGCGTTCGCTTTGCATGTCCTGAGAATGTTCCAGGTTGCATTTGCACTCTGCTTCATGGATATCACCGGTCCGAAGCTGTGGCAGTGGGTCAGCACCCCCAGCTGACAAATCAGGAGATATAATGACACGTGGGAGCTCTGCCCATGAGTTTCCAGCTTTTCATGCCACACCCACGTTGCGCTTCCTGTTCCTGGAGCAAGCTTGCTTCCAAGGCTGTGGTTTTCATCATCTCGAGCGGGCCTGGAACTTGGTGAATCGTGAAGCCTTGCAGGAACTGCTCAGACCTCGATTCTTGTCTCAGGTGCTCTGTCTGTACACTCATCTCCCTGATTTTTGCAAAGCTGACGGCCGGCAAGGGTTGAATGTGAGTCCTTTCTCCTCACGTGTTAGCCTAGTGAATGATACTTGTACAGCTCGCTCTCAGATCCAACGGGCATGTTGCAGCCCAGCCCTCCATGCTACCTCCAAGAGCAGGTTTTGTGCGGTCTGTGAACTCTAGTGTTCTCTCCCTCCCTTTGGCCTAAGTGCAGCGTGCGGGACAGGCGGAACACGTGCCCGATATCACGAAGCCTGTTCCGCTGGCCCCAATCGCCTTCTGGTTTCAGGCTTGGCACTCCGTGTCATAAGACGATGCAAAATGTTGGCAAGGGCATTTACAGGTCACAGCCTACAGATGGTGAAGACAAGGGAAGCCTGCTACAAAAATTCAGAATATTTCGCACCCATACCTTCGCCAAGGTGTTGTACTTCCAGCTGATCCTGGAGCTCGTCGTAGACTTGGGAGTTGTGATTCGCCGTCCTGGGCAAGCGTTGGTAGTCATTATATGTCCTTGAAGGCAAGGTATGTGGAAAAGCATTGTGATAGGGAGACTTTTAGAGACGGCACGAGAGTGAGGTTGCTTAGCGTTTCTTCTGCAGAAAATGCACAGTTTTCCAAGGCCAGGCCGACAGACGAGATCATGTCGTTGCCAAGGCACGGGATCAAACATCAAGCTCGACCTTTGGCAGCGCCTTTAAATACCAACTCTCGCTGTTCCTGTGAATTGCGAGCTGATTTGGCTTGTTGTTCAGGCTGCCGCCATTTTTCGTGACGTTTACGTTGCTTCTTTCTCATTTTTTGAATTTTGATTCAGGCTTCTTCCTCTAGACATGAGACAGCACATGTTTGCAAATGACATGTTTCGACCTTGTAGAATCTTTGTGATTTCGCGATCTTCAGCAATGAGAGAGTTGAGGTTTCAGATGCATTGGATCGGGATCTGCTTGGGGTTGAGGGTTGTTGCATGGAGATGCCCGCGGCTTGATATGTTGGAGTTGATAGTGAAAGGCTCAAGTGTTTGTCTCTTTTTTGGCACTTTCTGTTCAGTCTGGTGCGAATTACTGCAGACTAGAACAATATTTGAGATACTTAGTATCCCTGCTTTATCCTTTTTTCTGTTGCTTCAGTGTAATTCTTACAGATACATTTCTGCCCCAAAACGTCTTGGATCAAAGAACTGGATGCACGGAATGGATGTACATGCGGCAGAGGTACAAGCTACCAGTAAATCAGTAGAGAAATAAATCAAGGACATGATTTGCTTGCTGGATGCATGGACATGCATGGCTGCCTTTGTTTTTTGATCTTCTCTGGATACAGTGAAGCAAGGCACTGGCATGAGATGGCATCAGGTTGTGTATCTGAATGCAAGAACATGGATGCGGTCATTGCATAGGCCTTGGTTTGTTGGTCATGTTTGAGTGGAAGATGTCATCCGACAAGAAGTCAACACGTCTTAAGGGCCCAAGAGAAAGCCGTGTTAAGCACATTTTGCATCCAAATGCGCGAAAGACCTAGTAAACTAGTAAACTTGAAAACCCCACCCCTGGAAAAAAATGGCAATGGCCATGTCGTCATCAGCAACGTGGTGAATATGACATGGTTACACAAAATGGCAAACAAGACGGCGTTCCCTATGCGAGCTGCTCCTGTTTGTTGCTGCTCCCTCTAATGCTGCTGCAGCTGCGAAGGCTGCTGCTCGCTTCAACCCCTGTCATTGCTGCTGCCCGAGCCAGGAGATTCCGGGCTGTGTTGTTCCTGGATGTCTTCGGAGACGCCAGTTATGAGTCTTGGCAGCCAGGAACCAGGAAGAAGATGTAGATATCGCATTTTCAATATCATTGGAGACCGCATTTTTGGGCGGGTCAATATGCACCCTGTGGGCGTAGAATGGTGCTAGTGAAAAAAGCAGATCCTCTATACTTTAACCCTTAATGAACACCCGCCATTGTGCAAACATCATCTCAACTGACAGACTGCCCCCTGACAAGATGCTAGGTACGCCAGGGCCGAAACCATCCCCAAGCGAGGCTAACTCGTGGAACCGTGGCACGAGCCCCCAGTCATATGTTGATGTGGACAACCCCGACCATTTAAGGGTTCGGATACAAGTAGAATCCTTCAGCCACCTGCTTCGTATGATGCACTAGCCTTTGATCTTCCCTACGCTGCTATGTTGCAAGAAACAAAGCGAGCGTACATCTCTGTCTGTTTCTAATACGCTCAGTGTTTGCGTTGCTCTGTATTCCAGGATCCCACAGATGCTGAGTATGCCGCACCACCGGAGCCAGGGAGGCAGGAACCAGGGAGGGTTTGGGATTGACAGATGCTTTGACATGACGAATATGACGTGTTCAGCAAGCTTCGCTGTTCCCACCTGACTCACCCAAAGATTTGAGGCCTGGACAGAGGAGGCGCACAGCCCAGGACGGCATCCACATGCGTGTCTGTGTGCGTGCTTTACACCCAACAGATGTTGGAACTGCTTTCTGGATGCATGCCATGTCCAACTGATAGTGCGCCTTATGAGGCTGAAAGCTGCAGAATTCCAAATGTAGATTAAGCGGAGCGGAGAATTGAGTTTGCCCGAAAGTCTACTTGAATCACCGAAGGAGAGGGCATTCGCCGCTTGCGATAACGATGCGACCATGGCACAGGCGGCACTGCGGCGTTGGGAGGCGAGGATATGCATTTTTCTGGGGCCAGCTGTGAGACAAAGGCTTGCAGAAAGAATGCTTTCCGAGGCCCTTCCGCAGCCACACTTGAGTGAGGAGGAGGGGACCGTCTGCACGCAAGCTCGCCACAGATGTGGCTTGCTGAGCGTTGGGGCTTTTCAACATGTGTTGTTTTTGTGCGTCATGGATTCCCAGAGTCACTGCTTGTTTTAAGCGACTAATGTACAGAATGTTGCAGGACCGGGCGGCGCTTGAGCAGTACCGAAAAGAGTACACCCTGTCGCGAAAGGTGCGCAGTCTTTTTGAACCGTCAGCATCTATGGTTGTCTACAGGTTTTTGCTCATCCCCCGTCAAATCACTCGATGGCCACGTCAACTCTTCTGCTCTTGGATGGTTCATTTTGTCTCGCGTTCTCCCGGTTACTGATTCGTTGTGAAAACCCAGGCTGTAGGGCATGGCTTAAGTCGTGGGGGAGCGCTTGCAAAAACAGTCTGGCAGGGCCAGAGTGAAAGGAGCTTGCTTGGTGCCTTCCAAAGATATTGCAGAAGGGCTGAGAGGTCTTGTAGTCACACCTGATGGCCGTAGCTGCCTCATTGTTTGGATTTCAAGATTCCTTGCTTGCCACCCGAGCTGGGGTGCATGGCAAGGCGATGATGGCACACCTTGTTGAGCTGAATCGAGAACGGGGGGTGCCATTCTCTGCAGAGGCCAGGGATCAGCACTGCAAGCGCTGTCATTCTCGCATCCTCAAGATGCCGCACTTCAAAGCGCATATTTCTTAGCCGGTGAATTTGGAGCAGGAACGGGATCGGCTGGAGCTGAAGGCTTGGCACGAACTCAACGACCGCGAGAAGGACAGGTTGCATCTCATTTCTCATCAGTCTTACCGCTGCAAAGCCAGCCTTTTGTCCATTGTTTTCCCATCTGTGATGGACCTAACCAGAATTATGGTGCAAGATGCGTGGCGTGGTATTCAATTGGTTTCTAGGTTTGTTAACCATCACGCAGGCCGAGGATGTCTTCGCTGAGTACGTGATTGGTCCATTGCAGCTTTCCTCTGGCAAGCGAGGGCCCCGCGGGTTTCCACAGTCTTTAGGATGTAGCCCGCCAAGTTCTTGTCTCCTCCTTTAGTACAAATGGTGAAGCTGTGTTCGTTGCCATCGCAGCATTCGTTGGCTGGGTTTGTCATGGTTTGTTTGCTTCTTTAAACATCATTGTGCGCTTGTCGGCGGCATGGTTTGCAGTTGGTATCCACCCACGTAACGGTCAGTTCTTGCTTGGCATGCGGATCCTATGCAAAAAATTGAAGTGCCACATGTGCCACCTTGAGATCGGTAGATGCAGATGTCACCACAGAAGGTGTTGGCTTGTCTGGCAAGTCACGGGTTGTCTGTGCTTTCTTGCGCAGAAAGCATTGCAGAGAACACTCTTCAGTGTCCAATCCGATTGAAAGACCATAAATGCCTGTAGTAGTGCCTGTCCTAAATTTCCCTTGAAGAGTGGTGCCGCCATTATCCATGACTGCACCAATGATCCTGCCACAGCCCCTTATTCTTCCCGTGCGGCACACCTGCATACAGTTTTCAGAGGTTTTACAGATCAGACTCCAGCAAGCAAGCAACTAAGATGCATCCTGTGTGGTCATGCCAGCAGACAATCCAGGGCGCAGATCTACTACTACGACCTCGAGACAGGCGAGGCATGTGTGTTGATTGGTTCCATTTCTTTCAATTCATTGCAGCGATGCTTCTTTCTTCAGCTTCTCGTTTGCAGACGAGTGTATCTATGATCGGCTGGGGCGGCGTCCGCTGCTAACGTTGGACCACGTGAATGGACACGTCTCTAACCCAGTCTAGCAGTTTAGCATTGGACGCCGCATAGCTAAGCCTCTTTTGGCTCTTGTTGATGAAGCTTCTGCATCAAGATGGCGCTTAGGTCAGCAGCTTTGTCCAGGCAGTCCGCAGACTGTTCTCAGATGCACAGCCGGAGACCCAAAGAGTGTTGGAGATGCAAAGAGGTTCTTGAAGATCCACTGAGCTAGGCCCTGATTTGTCCAGGAGTGTGGTGTTTATCCCTGTAGCTTTTGTAAGGTGATCTCCAGGCAGGTCCAGGCCTAGTCTTACAAGATCTGCATTGAGCCTGACCCGCCAAAAGCTCCTTGAGGCACATGTGTGCATTCATTCTTCTTCTGCTCAGGCTAGCTGAGGAATCAGAAGACGGTGTCGCCCACAGATGGTGCAGAATCTTTTCAACTCCTGCAAACTGTGTATGACTCACAAAAGCTAGCACTGCAAGCCACGGATTCTGTGGCAGCTGGATACGGGGTGGGGCAATATTGAGTACATGTCAGGAATTGAACCTTTTTGGTTGGGGATGGTTATCTGAACTTCTCCTTTCACAGGAGATGTCGCAGAGTTGCGCGAGAGGGTGTTGGAACGAGTACCGTGGGATCTACTTGCAGATCCACACTGACAACGGCAACAACAAGAAGTACAACAGCACAGGATTTCTACTACGCCAGCGCCCCTTATGTACATCATCCACATCTTCTATATCCTCCTCCTCCTCGTTATGATCATCATCATGATCACATTTCTCTCTGTCTCTCATAAGCATTTTAAGCTGTAGAAGGAGAGGCACGAAGTGCCGTAATGACAAGCAGATGCAGGATAACACTTGGGTTCGGGGGAGGGACCAGTTTTGCGTGGCCATTTTGGCGAAGGTTTGCGCCAGTGAGATGTTGATACAAGAGGGGAGGCAATGGTGTCCCTGCTGCCATCACGGGAGATTGGGCAGGCCTGCAATAGAATCAAATCCGTGCAGTCGCTCGACAGCTGGGGGATGCAGATATGCGTGCCGCCTTGCCTGTGTTCGCATCAGTATCTGTAAGGAGGACGGGTGCAAGCTCTAGATTAAGCAGAAGTGCTCTCGGGTGTCTTTTGGTGGGGACATTGAGAATTCAGTAAATGCTGTTTATGTAAAGTTCGGACTGTCACTAGCCTTCGGTGGGGCAGCAACGGCGGATCCACAGGCATGGGTGCAACCGTGGCCAACTCCGTCACCACACCCTCCATAGTCAATCTTGAGCTCGGTCAAATGATCGACCAAGGGGCCGACCATAATTGTCAGATGTTTTCACTGGCCGAGCTAATGACAAGGGATGCGCCGCTGGAAAAGACGGGGTTACTGATGCCCCAGCATGAGAATTTTTGATCTTGGACAGGCGCTTTTCACTTTTCACTGACATGAGCGTATGGGGTCCTGTGGCGACCGCGTTGCCACGGCCATGAAGTTTACCTCGCAGATGCTGAAAGCCAGAGCTACCAGGGGCCTCAAACATCTGAGCTTAGGAAATGTTCTGGCAGCGGTCCTCAATGTTCTGGCAGCGGTCCTCAGCCGTTACAACGCAGAGTTTCGAACACAAGTCTTGGACTACCGGCATGCATGGCATCTGGCCGCCCAAGCCGACATTCGCTGTTGCAGTGAGTGGTTGCAGCGAGTGGCCTGCGCAGGAGCAGCCAAGACAGTTGACCTTCACAATGCGAGTTTTGGCTTAGCAATTGCAGCCCCAAGCAGCCATGGAACTCAGTCATGAAGGCCAGTGCATCCTGCAGCGAGTTCTGGCGGAAAGATTTCGAGCAGCTTGCGCTGAGGTAGCTGTGCGACGGGTCCAGGCCCATGCCCGCACGCTTCGACCCACCGCCCGGGTGGGGCTTAAGACTTGTAGGGGGGAGAGACGCGCAAGTTTGACCCACAACGCACGGATGGCAAGTACCCCAGAGCCCGAAATGGCGTCAACATTTCTTATGACCGGTCTCGGTGCAAAGATGGCTGTTCAAAAGAAAAGTGCGAGAAGCAGATGGCGCACGTTTGCGAATGGTGCCACCAACGTCCCCAAATGCTTGGGTGAGCGCCGCCGGAACCAAAGCCAGAGGAGAACAAGGGTGGCAGTGAGAGCGTTGGCTAGGGCGGCGCCAACAGCGCAAACCTTGAAAGACTCCAACGCAGCACCTGTCGTCAAACTCTGTTGCTCGGGATCTCCTGGAAGAGAACTTAGGCAGCTTGAGGCTAGAGTGGCGCTGCGTGGAAAGACAGGGTGCGCGCTGAATTCAGATCACGTTGGCAACTTGCAGATTGGAAGGCCGCCGAATGAAGCTTACTTTTTGGAATTTATTGGCGAGACATGGCTGACGAAGGCTGTTAGTGATGGTGGTGCTAGTTGTTTTGGTCTTACCGATGTTTTTGCGCGCATAGGGGTTGGTTCTTTGGATTTGAGCGATTTGTCCGTTTTCCGTGGTCTTCCGAGGCTTAACTCGACAAAGGCAAGTCAGGTGGCTGCACGCTGCCTCTCTTTGTCAGGTTTCATTAAGGCCGGAAGGGGTGGCAATTTTAAAAAGCAGGCCATGCCCTGAGGGAATCAAACCAAAACAAAAGGATGTTGTGCAAACCAATTTGGTGGCATGGCGGACAGTGCTGCTGGCCAACGCCCAGCGAAAAGCCGGAAGCTGGTTCTCTGTGGCCAATCTGGCGGACTCATCGCTTCGGCTTCACGGGCAAAATCATAGAATGAATGCAAAGTTGTCGTACGTCAAGCAGCCAGACACAAGGCTGCCGGCATGGGCAACATCTCCATAGGGGTTTGGCAATGGCTCAATGACAGCAGCAGTTCCTCCCCGACCCCATCAGCGAGGCCAGGATGCGCGAGGAGATTCTGGCTTCCTCGCAAGGCAGCCAGCCGTTTTGTTTGCTTCACAAATGGTTTCTACCCCAACAGCTACTGCCTCGTAAGCGTTATCAGCAAGGCGTATGAACAATTGGCGCGCGTTCTCCAACGATGATTGGGGTGTGCAGCGGACCATTAAGTTGCGGCCCGTGCAGTTTGAAGTCGGAGGTCCGCGTCACAGCCACATCACGTCAAAGCGACGCGGACGGCAAACCCTTTGTACATTCCCGCTGACTGGAAGCTAGCGTTCGACAGAGAGACATGGAAACACGTATTGTAGCACTGCGCGAGTATTGCGCGCCGCAAGTAGCGTGGGCACCGAGCGGCAGTTCAGACTTACCGCGGCGGGTTAGCGTCAACCAGACAGAGGAGGCACATCTGGAACCAGGCAAGACTTCCCTTTGTCACCTTACCCGCTGTTGCTGACAGGCCGCAAAGGAACTAAAGATTGTGTGCTGCAGCTACTGGCATGCCGAGCGCAACAAATTCACATTCACAGGATGGCCGGCGTAAACAGCGCATTTCAATCACGAAATTTGTTATGTTCATTATTAAGTCTTTTTGCTGATTACGCATTTGTGGTGGAAGAAGTCAAGAACCCAGATCACGGATGGTAATGATGATGACCATAATTTTCACCGCCAAAAGACCTTCGCAATTAACAATTACAGCAATGCTGTAACATGCTGTAACAAAAAATGTGTAAACGATGTATCCCTCTCCTGAACATAGACCCCACCCAGGACATTTATCTCTCTCCCGAAAATAAACTCTATCCTTAGTAATGAGGCCTTAATAATAAACCCCTCTTAATGTGGTACTGCTATGTATTGGGGAATGTTTTGTACGCAGGGGGGGTTGAGGTTTTATAGCGAAATGTGACTATGACAGATGCTGTTCCTGCAATCCCCAACACCAAGCCCTCGTTGTTGCAAACAGCGCAAATTCAGTGATGCTGCGCAACAGTTTTTGAGCAAATATCAGCTGCCGTGCAAGCTCACGAGTGCTCAAGCCTTCCTCTAGAACCTGCTGCTTCCTCACAGGAAGCAGGTCACAGTTTTAGGATTCCAAGCCATGGCAGGACAAGGTGATGCCCTTTCAAGCATTGCTGCAGAGTTGTCCAAGCTAGCAGCTGGTATGGAGTCCTTGTAGGGTCCAGCATGCGCAGGATCTGCAACAGCGTTCTGTTTTGACTCAGGTGAACTTGAGTCAGCGTGTGAATAACCATGACGTTTTGTTGACTGGAGATGGGCTTTCAGTCTTTGCAACAGCTGAACCGGTCGCTCGCCCACAGGAATAGCAAGTCCAAGCGTCGGGCTCACAGGAGGCAAGCGTCGCGAGAGTCGAATGTGCAGCAATGATTACAGAGGCCCTGCAGGGAAGGTGGCCCCAGCACTTGGAGCTTTGCGCAGCCATTTTGGCTCACAGTTCCAAGTTCACAAACAGCGCCTTGACTACATTGAAAGTGAGGTGAGGTTCAGAAGTTGAAGATCCGCGCTGCGTGGGTGGAAAAGGATGTGATGTTTTGGCAGATTGAGGTGGCAAAGCTAACGTTGGTCCTCCGCAATTTCCCAGATTGGATGAGCGTGCAAGACCGCGAGCTCACGCGCAACCAAGCCCTGAGAGATGCGGGCCTTTCACATGTGGAGTGGGACCTCGCAACCACTCAAAAGTATGATGGCCAGGGGGAGCCCAGGCTATCAAAGGTTTCCATCCTACATGTGCCCACTTATGGCGCGCGAAAAAAGTTGATGGAAGCCAGCGACCGCCTCACAGCTTGGTACTGGGAGGAAGAGAAGTCGCAGTCAGGCCAAGGCGGCGACTCACAGCCAAGGAGTCTCCCCAGCAGATTCTCAGCTAGTGGATGCCAGCTCTTCAAAAGCCAAGAACTGGAAGAAATCCCGCTACAAAGGGGCACAGATCAAGATGACCCCAGGCGTCGCGCAGTTTGAGATGAGATTGGGTGCTCCCATGCATGGGTTGATGAATTCTTACCAGAAAGCATTCAAGAAGTACTAGAAGGAGAGTCTCGTGCCCAAGTGGAAGACGCTCTTCCTCACAGACGAGCAGGATGCATGGCTGGGAAGAATCCTGTGTCAGAGGAGGTCTGAAAGCCGCGCAGCCACCGCAGGCAATCCTTCAGATTGGATCTGCGCAGTTCAACTTCCAGCCGAGCACCAGGGTGCCATCCTCACAGCCTGGAAGGAGGTGTGGTGTGATCAGCTGAGGCAGCAAGTCAACCTCACACGGGTGGAGCAGCGTGCCATTGACACGGCCTCACAGGACTATGATGCTGCGCAAAGGCTGAGCCGATACCTCACACGTTCCACTCCTCCCTACAATGCTGGAGAGGAGGAAGGCATTGACAACTTGATTGCACGCTTCAAGTATGAGTACCCTTGGGAGCTCCAGTTTGCGTTCCTCCCGGCAGACCATGACGACCGCCAATACTTCGAGAACATGCGCTCGGTTGAGGAGCTCATGGAGCAGATGTCG